TCTCACGACGATAGGTGCGGCAGTTCGGTGAAGATCTCCCACACCGACAACGAAGCTGACATCCGTAAATTATGGTCTCTGTTGGTTGCGGTACTCTAGAGGAGTTTACAGAACTTCGAAACTTCCACCACAACACTTCAAAAGCCGGAAGCTTTCATTAAAAATTGGAATCCGAATAAATCTCTACAAAGTCACAAGATGTGAGTGAACATGATACCGCTTTCAAGTATAAACAGAAATATTTGCCACAGAACTGCATTATACTAATAAAAATACTAAAATCAGATCAAATATATGTACTGCATATAGCCTACTATAGTTGGGTGAGAACTCTTACTAGACCACACATATACAACCTAGTGCTAAGGGCAACTTATAGGTATATGTTAAGTTATTACAATTGCAAGGTAAATCATGAGTTATACTTATATCAAGTTATCACAATTATCTAGTAAAAGTGCATATAAACTCTACATTGGTCTCGCAGCCCGGGATAAATAACGATAACGAGTTCATTGCAAAAAATTCTGCGGTTAGGGTGGTGCACGTTGAGCAAACAAATTCTGAGAGTTTTCGTTTGTAGGCTGCTTATGGGTCCATGAAAGAATCGCTCTCCCGGACAACGATGGGGAAAAACTACGAAATGTATTGGAGGCACAGTCCACGCTAGTCTTGTGGGAGGAGTGGGGCCAACCTCGTGCTTCCCTCATTGGCGGGCCTAGCTTTTTACTGTCTTCTCAAGGAAAAGCGCATTAGTTGGGAAAACATAATTGTAGACCCAAATCAGCCCATGTGATCAGCGCGGACTGCGCTGTGCTTTCAAGCAAGTGGAACGTAGAACTATTGCCAATATTGCACCATGGATCGGTTATAGCTCGTCAACTCGAGAAATATACCGCCTATCTAATGATCAGATATGTATCAACATGTGAGACATTCTCATTTCTCAGTAGTCACGATTGACATCGATCTGAATGGCAAGGCCTGGTTTCGTATTCCGGCATTGGGCAGGAATTGCTTGCTCTTTTTTGTCGCCGTCGGTAGTCTGAAAATTATTGGATGAATGAGGTGGCAGGTTCTGATAAGTTATCAATCTCAATGGGTATCATATAGACGAGGAAGTACGTTGTCCTCAATCACGTGTTATCAAAGTCTATGTCGCACAGTATAACCAGGATAACAATGTGTAGAAGAGAACCGAGGTGAAATATTTTGGTGATGCTTTCCCATAAGAAGGAACAAACCGCTAAACCTCAATATCACGCAAGGTGAAACCACTACCATCAGGCGTTGAACTCAAGGAGGCTTACAGTACCCATCCTGATGCACCTGCTTGTCTTCAAGGGTAGAACCATTGGCGCAGAGTTCCCTGGAGACTGCCCCGCAGGTAATGGAGGCCAACAATTCTTCAGCTATGCGAACAAAGTCGCTATGGCTCGCATCAGGTCTTTCATGACTCGACCCTGTCAGTCAAGGTGAACCTTAAGCACCCTCGTATTGCAGAAGCGTCGAATTGACAGGTTCAAGGACACAAGGCTTGAGACAGGTGCCCGATGAGTTGTCCACAGTGTTCACTAACAGTTGGTATCATCGCAATCACTCGGGTAGGTTCAAAGTGGGATAGAATGATCCATGTGTGACGTATTCACCACTGGTTTTTCCTTCCTAAGTCGGTTGCTAGCCGATCACCATTGAGAGCAAAGCAGCTGAAGGCGGGCTGATCCCGCCCTCCTCGCACCGCCACCGACTGATTGCGATGTAATAAATTGTACCTTTTTACCCGGCGCAAAATATGTTCAAGAAATAGACCTAAGGCGCGTCTTGATGCTGTGGAGAATGTCCTGAAATACGACCTCCCAAAGTACCTCTCCCAGCCAAGCACTTTTCGCTACCTACTCAGCCTCATCACCCTATTCTTATTCTCTTTTCCTGGGCCAAGTTCGACCACTGTTCGGGATTCCCAGTTTAGGGATTGGGGACTCAGTTCAGGGCGTGTCGTGAGTAGAAGTTCAGGGCGTGTCGTGAGTAGACTTCAAAAAGGAGGTCTATTCCCTCTACCCTTCCCCGCTTTCCCTTTACATCATCACAGCGGCTGCGTCAGCGTTTCTGCTCCTGAGCTATTGCGACTTTCTCAGGTGAAGACTGTCACTTACACCTCTGAGGGCTAACCTAAGCGCTACAATGCTCCACGCTGTTCTTCACGGTAAGAGTTAGCAAACCCTGCTTACCGTGGGGACTCAAAAATGCGTTTATGATCGTTGAATATAAAAAAGCTATCCGGCTACGTATAACTGCATGTTCAGTTAGTTAAGAAAGCAGTGTTGTACAGTATGAACCCACCCAATGCATCCTGTTGCCGAATTCGTGGTACCTTTGTTGTACATATTTTTTTCCTGCTCTGTACTCCGCAGTTACAGATTGACCAGTCTGACCAATCAGCTGAAGAAATCGTTACTAAAAAAGATGAGAAGTGATTTTTCAGTGATTTGTAAAATGGGTTGCTATAGAAAGAAGTAGTGTGTTTGACTCTACCGTTATCGTCTGGTAATTGTTTATCACCATCAATTTTCAGCCTA